TAATCGCATGCATCGTATAATTCGCTATATGTACAGAAGTTGGTAAACTTTGAATATATCCGACACATCTCTCAACTTACGAACTCGGAGATAAAGAGTTTACGCGGATTTGATCTTATGAGTAAATAAAGTTTGAATTAGACTGTATAAATTTGTCAAACTTCCTGTATTTGCAAATGTACAGATGCAATAAGAAGTTTGTCTAAATTAGACTAGTTAATAAAGATTTTAATCTAATTCGTGTAGTTTTTTATCTTGTTTTGTATTTTGAAGTTTGAAAAGTTAGACTTGAACTGGAGTACACGAAAATTTTAACAATCTCGTGGATAAAAAGGAGACAGTGGTTATAAAAATAAATATTTATAAAAAATAAAAGGTTATAAAAATATAGATTTAAAAGTTATTTCTTCTTCTTCTTTAAAGCTTGGTAAACCCTTCTAACATGTTTAACAAAACAATAACGAAAACACTAATAAAGGCAACAAGTTTAGTTCCAGCAGCCGCAGAGCTAACAATTTTTAAAAGTGACTCGTGAATTTAAACAATATAGGTTAAAAGTTGAACATATTTTACTGTTAAGCACTGAAATAGCACTGTAAGTAGAAATATTTAATTTTTTAACAAGAAATACAAATTGTATTTCAAAGATACGTACCTAACTAACAACTTAATATTGGTTTAGACCAGATGTGAGTAAAGTACGGCCCGAGAGCTAAGTGCGGTTTTTGGGGTTATTGAATCAGGAGTTTAATATCGTTTGACGGTATGCCCAAAATTGACGCAAGCTAGGACTGTACTTTTAATGTTTTACTCTGTTTCTTTCTGTTGCCTATTCGACGTCTGCATTAATGACCACCACAGTCCTCTTACCGTGCAGCTTATGGTCATAGGTCATGGTACAAAGAATAACAGGTATGATACTCCCGAGTGCGAAATTGGGACGTGTCCGCGCATGACGTCACAATGAGAGTGATTTTAAATGTTTCCCGTAAGAACACAATTCATTTTTAATTGGTAATAAAACACATTTTATAGATTTTATAGAGTTTCTATTGAACTATTTTGGATTTGAAATATATGTGTTTTATTATTTTGATTGAAAAAATTGATAACTACTACAGTAAACAAAAATAAATTTTTTAAATAAATTTGTGAATTTTGTTTAAAACTTTTTTTTGTGTTTTTCGCTTTTTAATCCTAGAAAGGTAACCTTCGTAAATTTAACGAGTTCTCTTTTGATTGTCTTGTCTTATTTGGCGCCAGTTCCAAAGAGGGGATCGATCCTTCGTCTAGTTCTATTAAAATATTATTATAAATAAAATCTAGTCTAATAAAATCGACAAAATAAATAAACGACAAGGTTTTAAGTTACAGTTTTCTTTAATTTTCTCTTATTTTCTATTCATATAGCAGCAATGCATGCAGAAAATTTCTTTTAAAGTATTTCGACTTAAAATGTTTTGAACAAATTCTTAACGTTTTAGTATTAAATTTGTCTTCACGGCAACAAGCAATAACCCACAGTATTTTCACTACCAAGTTCTTTAAAAAACCATCTGCATTCCTTTTCTAATTATCATTTGAACTATCAGATACTGCACAACGTATTTTATGTTTAGCTTAATAAATTATTCCTAGCAAAAGTCATTAAATAATACAGGAGGCGAGTATGGCTGAGTATTAAGTACTGACTTAATAATATTAAACATTTCTCTCTCTCTCTCTCTCTCTCTCTCTCTCTCTCTCTTTCCAGAATAGCGGTACAGCCCAAATCATGCATTGGCCTCCTAAAAAACTATGCCTCCAACCTTGCTGGTCCCGCCCCGATCTTCTCCATATTCGCACGTCTAAAGGAGTTTAAAATACTCCTAGTAATAATTTTTTCTCATTAAAAAGCCTACACATCAACTTAAATCTCACAAAACACAATAAAATCTACAACAAGCTTAACGAAGAAGCCAAAAGCTAAAAAAATAATAAAATTCCCATTACAAACAGATATATTTTATTACAATGACGAAATCTCTCATTGTGACGTCAAGAGTAGTGGATCTGCTGACAGTGGCCTGCACAATACATCGAGCAAAAAGACAAAAGAGGGAATGTAGAGGTAGTGGGGGCAAAAATATTGTTAGACAGAAAGTGCGATCTTTAGAGGCCACATTAAACAAGGAAAGAGAGTCTCTCTCCTTGTTTGACATCAAATTTAGTTGGGTTATGTTATTGTTTGTCCCAAATGTCACATGAAATCTTATTTATATTGAAGTTTTTTAACAATTGTGTCGCATTTTAGACTATTATCGTTATATCGTTAATAATCAATTAAAACTTTCTCGTCTAAGACACATTCTGAAAAATATTATACAGCTACTGTTAATAAGCGCATTCGCATTTCCGGATATGTCCGCCATCAGAGGCCACTTTTTTGGTCTCCTTTTCATAAGGATTAGATTCCCTCTTTTGTCTTTTTACTCGATGGCGCAATATCATACCATACCTGTTTTTCTTTGTACCATGGTGACAGGCAATGTTGAGTATAATGCGTGTGCTCCTCAAAAAGTATCGGGCTCTACCATTATGGTTTTACCTTACTTCAAGGTTATTTATATTTATTTTATTCACTCAGTCACCTAGGCATGACATCCATTCATCTCAGCGGCTGTGTGCATGCGGAGAATATTTAACATTTTAAAGATGTTGTTTGGATTTCGGACTTTGCATTTTTTTGCAAATCTTTTAAGTCACATTAATAAATTTAACCTTCACCCTATAACACTAATCATCCGTAAAATATACCAACGCTGATTATTTTTTTTTTTAAGATTTGGCAACTTTGCATGAATTGTAGAAGAGTAGGTATTGGAGTAGCTTCGGTAATCAGCCAATTTGTCGAGTACATTCACAGTGTAGTTAGTTATCTTTCTTTGTACAATCTTGGATTATTATTTTCTTTTTTTAATCACAGATAATTTAATTAAAGAATGGCTAGAAAATTTGAAAATAAAAGACCCTTAACCCAATTAGAGTTGGAATTAGAGGCTGAAAAATATTGGTGAATGAATTAGATTATGTTAGCCTACAATCAAATGATGAAACTTTTAGTAATTCAGAAAGTAAAAACAGTGAAAAATTGTTTCAGCCCGTCAAAAAAGGAGTACGAGCTAGAATTTTTGGTAATGAAAGCAGCGATTTTTATTGTAGCAGTCCTAAAACGAAAAAAAGAAAGCGTAATAACCAATCTACTTCTGTTTTTATGCCTAGCACTTCATATAGAGTTCAATATGAGATTTCTTCTGTGGAAACCGACATTCAACAAGACCATTCATTTCAGCAAATAATAACTCGGCCGAAAAAAGGTAATAAAGAAATGTCTTCTTAACAAGTTAAAGAGCGAGAAACCGAAAACATTGTGGACGAATCTGAACCGCATACTTCCATTTTGACTACTAGTTTAAAAGACAAAAATGGTCATAGCTGGTGTACTGTATCTAATCTTAAAAAACGTACTACAAAAAGGAATATTTTGCATATTTTTCAATGACCACCTGGACAAGCAAAAGATGCCAATACCCCATTAGATGTATTTCAGTGTTTAATGAACGATTTAATGTTAGAAAAAATTCTGTTGCACACCAATACTCAAATCAGGCTAAAATCTGAAAATTTTAAAGTGCTTAAATACTTTTAAATGCTTAGATAAATTGAATGTTTTTATTGAACTACTTATATTTTCTGGGTCACAAAAATATAACCATCTTCATGGTAGAGGGATGTTTGATTCCAAAATGTCTGCCTCCCTCTATAGAGCAACAATGAGCTGCGAAAGATTTGATTTTCTACATAATCTTAGATTTGATGATAAAACCACAAAAACTGAAAAATATATAGATAGGTTTGCCCCTATCCAGGAAATATAAGAGGAATTTATTTTTAATTGTAAAGAGCCCTATCGATCAGGTGCTATGTAACTATTGACGAGCAGTTGCTAGCTTTTAGGAGCAGGTGCCCTTTTAGGATGTATATTCCAAATAAGCCGATCAAGTACGGAATTAAAATTGTAATGACTTGCGACGTGAGTACCATGTTGAACGTAGACCCCTACCTCGGCAAACATACGCACACAAATGGGGAATCTCTAGAATACTATGTTAAAAAGTTGACTAATAATTGATTCACTTTAGTGAACTTTGCGGATACTCTTTTGAAGTTTCCTTTCAACCTTACAATTATGGGTACTTTGCGGCAAAGTAAACGAGAAATTCCCCCTGAAATGATTATTCTTAAAAAGAGAGAAATCGGAAATTCAAGATTTTGCTTTGACCGAGAGAAGACCTTAGTGTCGTATAAATCCAAAAAGAACAAAACCGTTCTAGTTTTATCAACAATTCACGAAGGTTCAGTTGTTTGTCCAACTACTAAAAAACTAGAAAAAATATTGTATTATAACCAAACAAAGGGTGATGTGGACAGTTTCGACCAAATGTGTCGCCATCGAAATTGCTCCCGAAAAACTCGAAGATGGCGGCTTTGTATATTCTATGGTATGATCAACTTAGTGTATATAAACTCTTGGATTATATATTATTATAATTTATCAAGAAATAATCATAAACCAATCACAAGAAAGGTTTGTATGTTAAATATACATCAACATCTCACAAAATTGTGGCTTGAAAAGCGTTTTGCGATGCCGACTTTGCAACGCTCGCTGAAACTTCTGTCTCTCTGTATTTCAAATGTTTACCAAGGCACTCTCATTTAAGGATTTTTAGGTTGATTTAGTTCCTTTGAAGTATTGTGTTTTTGAGGATATACAAAACTTCGATTAATATTGTTTTATTTTTACTTCTGTATTATTCTGTAATTTTTAAATAAAAAAATAGATGCATATAATAATTTATTAATGTAATAAGCACACAAATAATTACTACATGTAGAGAATTGAATATCAATTACATTATATATATTATATTTACAAGTATAATAGTTCCGCTAAAGCCTCACGCTGCAACATTTCCTGAAAAATTACATATTATTTTAGAATACAGACAATTCTTTAAATAAAGAATTCTTCCCAAACTCACTTTAAAAAAATACATTAACAAATATTTGTTCGCTTGATGAAGTAGTTCATATGTAAATTCTATCGCGAAGATCTTTGGTAAAATAATTTATGTTTTCTTCAAATGGAACATACGTATAGGATTGGAATTGACAAGGTTGATCAGATCAATTAAAAATAGGTTAGTGTGTGAGGCAGGGCTACATCCCTTCCTTGAAATTTGCACAGCATAATGAGAAAGGTATCAAAATAATTGGAATTCCCATAAATATTTTGCGATATCTTGATGACACAACTATCACACCAGACAACATAGAAGAATTCCAAGAGATAATAAATAATATTAATTAATAAAGTGAATTAATGTCAGAAGTAATTTGCTGGGCTCTATTGTGGAGTTACTACTTCCTGGAGAGTTCTCAAGAAAGGCTATGAGATTTACTATGAAGTAGAGAAGTTTTGTGGGTTATTGATGTAAAGATGCCTTATTATTTGCTTTGATTCATCTGATATTTTGGATTTATCTTTAGGATTCACTTTTGTCTGCGTCTTCATGTGTTTTCGAAGCAGGCATCAATGACGAGTATTCAATTTCCGAATTAGATATAGAATGGTTAAGAGACGGGTGTACTAAGTATTCTAGATTGCTCTTTTTTGTCCTTGTATAGGTTATGAGATAATTGTTCTAAGGTAATAATTGATGAAGTTTTTGTTGGCAGTGACTTCCTTAATATTTTTGTATGCATTTAAGTAGTCATGTTTTTTAGTAATTCCCTCAGTGCCTCACATCTGATGTTTATCCATTCTTCTTTGGCTTTTCTGATTTTGTTTTGGACGTTTCTGTGGGTTTCTTAATATTTTACTTCCATTGCAGTTTTTGTAAGATCTTTTTACGTCCATCAGTTGAAGGATTTCTTCTGCCATCCCTATATTCTTGGTTTTTTTTGTGTTATCTTGTAGTTGTTCTGTTTGTATAGTTGATTGTTGTTTTTACGTTGTACCAAATCCTTTCTACTGAGTCTTCTGCTACAGCGGGTGCTTCACCGAATGTTTTTTAAGTGTATCATTGAGTATTTTCTCTATCTCTGCCTGTACTGCTGAATCTTTAAGTTTTTCGAGGCTAGGTTTTATCTTCTCTTTGCGTTTGATTTTCTTCAGTTTAATTGAGATTTTACCTTAACAGGATTGTTTTCGAAACCGATGTTCATCCCGGGATATGTTTTAACTGCCCTAATTTTATTTCTATAACACTTATTAATTAATATATAATCAATCTGGTTTCTTATTATGTGGTTTTTAAATTTTATAATCTAGTGCTTTCCATGTATATCTTCTTCGCGTGCCATATCAAAACTATCTGACTTTGGATATATATTGAATATATATGGTTGTATTCCATGTATATAATCTTTTTTTTTTTTGTAGTTTAAATCAGGTCTAGCGATCATGAGATTTTCTTCTTGGCAAAATTGTATTTCTCCTCTATCATTTCTTTGGCCAAACCAAATTTTCCGACTACGTCTTCGGTCCGCCTTTCACCTACTTTGGCATTAAAATCTTTCATAATAATGTTTACAGCATTTTCTTTGCGATCTTCATGAGCTGATCTCTTGGTAGAATTCTCGTATTTCGCTTTCTGGTATTTGTCCAGTAGGAGCATATACTTGAATAAAAATAATATTTCGAGTAATGGTATTAATTTGTAGCATGACTACTCTATCAGATATAGGTATAAAACTAAATCGTTAAATCGTCATTAACAGCATAGTATATCACAGTCATGATTATCGATATTTGTCTGTCTAGACCCAGGCCATCTAACTGTACTGAATCCGAGAATATTGACTCATATTCTTCTCATTTTTTTGACGATGTTATGAGATTTTCCTGGCATAGAGTTTGCATTTCAGGTTCCAATTGTCAATGTGTCATTTTTGTTTTCCGGGTGGTTCCTAGCATTTAACGTGAAGATTCTTAGCCATTTCTTACCATTTAAGGTTTTCCAAGGACTAGGGGCCATTTGTTTTTCATAACTTGCCATAGTCATAATATCTTAAGAATATTTAGTGTATTGGTTTCTCCTTGCTTTACACACCTCAGTATTACAACCGATTAAACTAATATCTGATTGTCCCCTCCTATATATATATATATATAATATATATATATATATATATATATATATATATATATATATATATATATATATATATATATATATATTATATATATATATATATATATATATATATATATATTGGATTTGAAACTTCCACGGGAGCTATAAGTGATTTCAGTTGTTTTCCGGGTTTGACTCCGCGTTATGTAATTTTGGTTTTTAGAAAAACCATTGTTTTGACGACGTTTCGGCAAGGTCACACTTGCCATTGTCAAGTCAGATTAGTTCTGCTTCGTCTTGATGTTTCAGGAGAACTGATTTCTCGGTCGCTGTTTGCTAAGTTTAAATACTTTGAAGCGCTTCTTGTTATTGGTCCTGTGCGCAAAGTGGGCGGGGTATTCTTCGCTATTTTAATTTCTACATTTTTCTGTAGAATTGGTTTCCACGTATTTGGGAGTCTTTGGGCATCGTCTCTGGTATTTAAATTTTTTGGATGTTTTTCGATCTCTATGGCTTCCCTGATTACACGTTTGGCCTTATTTTCGATATTGGCTAGCATTGTTGTTCCATTTAAGTCGATTTTGTGTCCTGTGTTGATTGCATGTTGTGCTAGAGATGAAGTTTTCTGTTTTCTTTCGATGGCGTTTCGATGTTCTTCGCGTCTAACTTGTATCCTTCGATTTGTCTGTCCGATGTACGACTTATCGCAGTCCTCACACGGGATTCTGTATACACCTTGATTTTCCAATGCAACTTTTGTTTTCGCCGATGGTAATATGGTTGCGATTTTTTTGTCGGTGTTAAAAATGGTTTCTATGTTGTTTTTACGTAGCACTCTGCTGATTTTGTCTGTCGTACCCTTTATATAGGGCAGGATAGTTTTTCCGACTGGTTTTTCCTCTTCTTCTGGATCTTTGATTTTGTTTCGGGATTTCTGTGCCTTTTCAATCGTATACATGGAGAAGCCATTTTTTCTTAGAGCTGTTTTGACTTTTTGCATTTCTTCGTTCTTATGTTCCTTATCTGCCAGTTTCTCAGATCTTGTTATTAGGGTTTTTATTACCGAATTTAATTGTGCAGGATGATGGTGTGAGTCTGCGTGTAAGTACCTGTCAGTATGGGTTGGTTTTCGGTATACTGTGTGTCCTATGCTTCCGGCTTCTTTCTTAATAACTAACACATCTAGGAATGGAAGTTGTTGGTTATTCTCCCGTTCCATGGTAAACTGTATTTTTGGGTGGATATTATTAATGTGTTGTAGGAACTCGTTAAGCTTCTCTTCTCCATGTGTCCAGATAATAAATGTGTCATCAACATACCTAAGCCACAGTTTGGGTTTATGCTCTGCTGTTTCTATTGCTTTTGATTCTATATCTTCCATAAAAAGGTTGGCTATTACGGGTGACAGTGGTGAACCCATCGGTGCCCCTTCAACTTGTTTGTACCTCTGGTCCTTGTAGATGAAATAGGTGTTGTTTAAGCAGTGCCTCGTCAGGTTTAATGTATCCTGTGGTATTGGATATTTTCTGCGTATAATTTCTAATGATTCTTCTACTGGCACATTGGTGAATAATGACACTACATCAAAGCTCACTAATAGGTGTTCAGGTTCCAGAACAACGTCCTTGATACGGTCGATAAAGTGGCTGGCATTCTTGACGTAACAATCCGCTTTCTCTGCATATTGTTGTAGCTGGTCGGCCAGAAATTTTGCCAGTGATTGTAGCAGTGACCCGATAGAGCTGACTATTGGTCGTAATGGTAACTCTGCCTTATGTACTTTGGGTAAACCGTAAGAGTCCGTCAAGATGTCCAAAACTTTATGAATTATTAAAGACTCATATGAATAAAATATGGCAAGAAATATGGGATCAAACAAACACAAATCTTAAAAATATCAAACCAGACGTATCCTCAAAAATCTTGGTATACCACCAAAACGAAAAGACCAGGTAATTATCAGCAGACTCCGACTTGGGCATACACGACTTACACACGGCTACATAATCTCCAAAGAACCACTACCAATGTGCCAAAGATGCCAAACACCTTTCACAGTAAACCATATAATAATAGAATGTCCAGAGGATACCTCAGCCAAGGCGATATTCAAGATACCCAACAGCCTGAAAGAAGCACTGGTTACAAAATTCAATGAAGTTCTGTCTTTATTAAAACACTGTAAACTCTATAATAAATTGTGATTTAATTTGTGTTACATTTACATACATGTACATAATACCATATTGTTGTAAGTCATGATTTTTAAAATGTATCTTATTTTCTATATTTGTATCATAAACCTACCGCTAATAACCCTAGTGGTTGATGCGGATAAATAAAAATTAAAAAAAAAAACATTTTATATTTAGTATTGTATTAAAGCAGGAAAAATTTTTGAATCTTATGTTAACTTTGATTATTAGTTTAATATTAGTAGTTTATGTATCGGAATGGGCGATTATACCAAAATAGATTAGTATTAAATAGCAAAAAGTTTACTCTTACTTTTATCGAGATCATTCCATGGTTGAACTTGTCCAGAACCAAAGGCAGAGAAAACTATTCCGCCGGAAAGATAAACGCAGCTACCAAAGTAAAATACGATTTTCCATTGAGCTGCACTATACTGAAAGCAAAAATTGTAAATTTTAATAGCTTTTTATGATATTAACAGGAACAAACGGAGAATAAGTATAAATAAAAAATGTTACAGGCCAACAGTTTTTAAAATTTTAGAAAGTTAAGATTTGTTTAAAACTTCGTTATCAAAATAATCGTCACTATTGTCTTTTATGAGGATCTAATATGAAAAGAAAAGTAAATATAAAAACTTTAGACATTATTTATGCTTGTGAAGAGTCTTATTTATGTGCGTACCAGACAGAAATCAATTATTCTACCTCATTATTTAAATATGAAGTTTAATTTATATTTTCTAGTATAAACTTAATATAAACATGGTTTCATAATCCATACAAGTCTCCCGTCTGACACCTTAGCCTTAGTCTACTAGACAGAAAACGAGAACACGAAAACACTCACAAAATTTCATTCTTCGAAAGTAATCATCTGGATAAAGCTGCTTCGTTTTCTAATATTTAAAATTCTTATTAGCGTGCTTTTTCCATACTTTCGTTACAGTAATATTACTAACATCTCTAGCAATGCTTCTACTTAAACGTGGTAAATCTACCCCGATGGTTGCACAAATTTGTGTATCCCGTTATTCTCTTTTCTTGACTTTTTCTAATGACACGTCTTGAGCGTAACATTTTCTGCAATTTTTGAGGCAATAACAACGTTCAAAATTTTTAATAATTTTATGAACTGACTATAAGGAATTGGTCTCCCTCAAAAAAATACAGAAAATAAATCTACACACTGTTGTCCAGAATTACCACCATAAAACCAATTTATTATTTGAACCTTTTCTGCAGGCTTATAAACAAACATGTTGTTTACAAAAATAAATTAAAAGTCTGCTGTTATTGCTTTAAGCAACCACTGTATAATGACAAATGATCGGTGACGGGGCAATAGAGGTTCTTGGAAAGTCGACGGCGCGCAGTTTTGCCATTTATAGTGTGTATATCTAATTTAAAACAACGTACTGTATATCAATTTCAAACATATATTAACAGAAAATTCTACATGCCCAAAAAGGAAAACAAAACTAAACATTATAGCGTTGAATATTTGAAACTCGGCTTTATTCGATTCACATCGAATCAAAGTCATCTTATGAACCTTTTGTGCAACAAAGTCTTAAGTAATGATGCTCTAAATACATCTGAGCTAGAGGATCGTCAAAAAATGTGCCATCCTGATAAATTGTATGTAAGTAAAGATGTTTTCTTCCATTTAGCAGAGATACAAGGATGGTTTTCTGGCATCTTATAACATTTTACTGCTCAAATAAAAATCAGGAAAGCTTCATAATATCGAATCACAACTCATCTTGACGGCTGTTACAAAGGTGTTAAAAACTGTTTAGCAGCAGCCTGCAATTTACTTGTACTTAAAATTCCTTCGAACAATAACACAGTTCATAGACGTATTGTTGAAATAAACTATGATGTCAAAGATTTCTTGTAAACTTATTTGAAAAATAACTATTTCTCAATTGAATTGGGCGAGTAAATGTTAGGCGACAATGAAACACTCTTATTTGTATAAGTTCGTTTTGTTATGGGCAGAAAAATTAAGAAAAACTTCTCTTTGTGAGGATTCTTCCAACACACACAAAAGGCAAATCAATAATATTGTTTTGAAAGATTAATTTACTGAAAACGACATAATATCATAGTTTTATAAGTCATCATTATCATATAACGGGGATCCTACGGCGATTGCCGCTTCCCGCATATCAGCCCCCATCTTTTCCTATCTCTCCAATCTGCCTGTTCTAAGCCTCTAGATTGCATTGTTTTTGTAATTTCTCTTCTCCAGGAATTTTGTGGTCTTCCCCTTTTCCTTCTTTCTGGCGGAACATACATTAAGGTTTTCCCACCTCTCCTCCTCCATTCTCATCACGTGACCATACCATTGTAATTGCCTTCCTTGTATTCTATCTGAAAGAGTATCTCTAATTCCTGTACGGTTTCGTATTTCCTCATTCCTGATTCTTTCCATTCTCGATACTCGGCATGACCTTCTAAGATAATTAATTTCCATAACGTCTACTTCGTTAGTCTACAACATTTGACACCATATGTGGTAATCGGATTTGGTATGCATCTTTATTGTATTGGACCACAGTAATGAATTCAGTATTCGGATGCATTTTTTCCCTTGGGTTATGTACATCTGTCTTAACTCTGCCATCTGCTGATATGATGCTTCCTAGATATTTATACTGGTTGCAACCTTTTATAACTGCGTTTTTAAGCCTCAGATCTGTGGTATTTCCTCCAATTTTTGAATATTCTGTTTTGCTTATGTTTACAGTAAGCCCCCATTTGGCATATTCCGCAAATAATTTTCGATTCATATAATTTATATCTTTCTCATCGGTTGCAACCACCACCTGATCATCTGCAAACAACAATGTATACAGAGTTTCTTGTCCCACTTCAATGCCCATAAATCTACATTTATTTCTCCAATTCCTCAATGCTTCTTGGACGTATATTTTAAAGAGTGTCGGTGACAAACAGCATCCTTGCTTTAGGCCTTTAGTGACTTTAAATTCATTTGAAGTTCTGGTTCCAATTTTTACACAACTAACTGCATTTTCGTACAACTTATATATCGCTCGGATATACGTCGAATCCAATCCGGACCTTTCGAGGACCTCAAACATTTTCTTTAACGGGACACTAGCATATGCTTTCTCAAGGTCTATAAATACCAAATGGGTCTCTCTACTTCTTTCGACACGCTTTTCAATTATTTGTCGTAGGATAAATATATTATTAAGGCAGGATCTTCCCGAGAGTTTTATAAGTTATTTGAAAGAAAATCTAGACTAGATTGTCTACAATTAATTGCATCATTGATCGACCACATTCAGTAGCTAAAAATCTAAAAGCCAGATTACATTAATCTTTCCAATTAATCATAAATGCAATAAACAAAATTCGTTAGCTGTTGTATTAAGTAAATGACTAGAGACATGGTAAAGAAAATTTTGATATTTTTTGTGCCTATGCAATAATGACATTTATTGATCTAATAGGCTCATCGCACTCGTTTTTGCAAGTTTTTAAAAAGTAAATTTTCATAGTTTTATTTTAGATTTTATCACTTGTTTTGGTTAATTAATTTTGTATTAAAATATATTACCATTATCCATAAAATTGATATCCACTTGATGGTGGCATATTGAAATTATTTAACAGTGAATAGAAACAGTGTTATAATGCTCTTTAGCTACAATATAATATTTTATATATGCTTTTGCATATTCCATATTCATAAAATTCCATATAACCAATATCTTTTATGTTACAAATTTTGTAACTAAAAATTTGATTTCTATTTTATTGCCAATTTAAAGTTTAAAATGTTTAATAATAGAAAATTGTCAAACAAATATAAACAGTCTCCTTAGGCTCATTTTAGTCAACTGTGTTGATACCAATATTGTAAATATTATTGTAGTAAGTGTAGAAAACATGACGATGTTAAATTTAAATATCAATAACTATTACTTACTTCATCAGAAACCAAGAACTGTACTATCAGCGGTGCGAATATAGCAAAGATGTGAGAAAATGCATTAACAATTCCTTGAAGAACTCCGGCATGGTTAGGTGAAAGATCTACGCTGTTGATTAGAACGCTGCAAATTTGGGCACCTCCTGTACCGACTGCTAGAAACAGCAGCATTACACCCTTGATAGTATTTTCTTCGGTACATTGAGCTAGAAATACAAGTGAAATCGCTGGTCCGAAGGTCCCTAAAACAAGATATATCCAGGTGTTATAGAAAAAAAATTATCTCTAGCCCCAAAAACGTCAATTTAAAATATACTTAGAAACTTTAAAAATATCGATTAAAAGAGTGGTTCTCAACCTGGAGAGCGCGTCCCCCTAGGAGGGCGTGAGAGAATTTCAGGGGAGGCTTTAGGGTACAAAGAAAAAAAATTACAATTAAAAAATATATATTTTGTTAAAAAACAAAAAATATTTTGTATTTCGTATTTTTTATTTTGTTTAGAAATATTTCTTTATTTAAACGTGATTAAAATCGTTTTACTCAAATACACAAACTGAGTTAAACACGAGAGTCTTGTGTATGGCAACATTGTAGGAGCGCAAAGTATATTTACCAACACTGTATTGCAAGCACTCCTGGCCCAGTTCCATGGCCTGGAATCTTATATGAATAACCTTGAACATTTCCCCCATCACTTTGACTCCAGTCTGTTAATAAAGAGAGATGATAACCTATCTCGCTCACGAAGACTTTAACCAATCATTTTATTTTAACACCATCTCTGAATGTCACAAATAAAATAATCAAACGAAGCTTAATTCCGCCATGTCAATTCCGTTAAAAGTAATGACAAGTTGATGATTGATATTTGTCATCGAGTTAAAAGTTCGGTGTAATCTATTTGTATATTTTCGACTTTCGTCTTCCACATGCTTTGGCTTGTTTACAGTTTTCATTTTTAATTTAATTATCTTTAACTTTCGTTTGTATTTAGTCTTAGTAATTTAAGTTGGTTCCTTAGTTTTTAAAGTTTAGTTAGTTGATACCTTAGTTTTCATTTTTAATTTAATTATCTTTAACTTTCGTTTGTAATTTAATCCTAATAATTTTAATTTAAGTTGGTTCCTTAGTTTTTAAAGTTCGGTTAGTTGATTCTTTAGTTTTTTTCAGTTTAGTTTTATTTGATTCCTTAGTTTTTAAAGTTTAGTTATAGTTCCTATAAATAAAGATTTTCGTCTCCCTACAAAACTTGTGAAAAAGCAGATTGGTATTGTCACATCACTCACTATATGTGAGATTATTCCATTGGAAAATAATAAAATATTTTGAATTTCCCACTAAATTTTAATTAGTACCGCAATGACCCACCAGAGGCGCTAAAGGGATAAAATTAATACTTAACCATTTGAATTCCCCGCCAAATGGTGATTAGTATTGACTCCACTCACCAGTGGTGCTAATAAACCAAATTTATATATAGAGTTGCCTATCTATCTGTATATACTATATTATTTATCTATGGCCCAGTTCAGTGACTCCGTGTCAGTCTCAGTCGACAGCGTCTGTGTGCTGTTTGTATCATCAGTGTAATCGTTATTTAATAACAGAGTGGTTGTTTGTAAATTATTTAATAGTGTTGTGTAACAGCTATGAAAATGGTTAAGTTACTTCAAAAGAAAAGATTGTATTCAGACGATTATATCAAGTATGGTTTTACCTTTATGGAGAAGAACGGCAGTATTTACCTCAGTGTGTCAACTGCCATGCTGTTCTTGGTAATGATCGAATGGTCCCCGGACGTTTGGAACGGCATCTAATTACAAATCATTCTTCTTTGAAAGATAAAGACCCAAAATTTTTTATTGTCAAAAAAAATAGCCTAAAACGTGTGAAACTTTTCGTGTTGACGCTACTGCAAATTTTCGTGTTGAAAATGAGAAAACTGTGAAAGCATTATACAAAATAGCACTTTTGATAGTTAAAGACAAGAAACCACAAACTATTGGTGAGTCACTAATTAAAACTTGTTTTCTTGCTGCTTGTAGTACCGTACTTAGTGAAGACAGTTGTAAAAACGTAGAAAAAATTTCTCTCTAAAACGACACAGTAAAACATAGAATTGATGACATTGCTCTGGATTTGAAAAATCAACTATAGCAGAAATTAAAAGGTTCACCGTTTTTTTATTTGCAGTGGGACAAAACAACTGATATTTCAAAGCATGCACACTTATTGTTTTACTGTCGATTTATTGACAGAAAACAAACAGGTTCCTGGAGCAAATATTGGTTTCAACAGATCTTGAAAGAATATCTAAAGCCATTGACATATTTTCTGCTCTTGAAGATTTTTTAGTAATCAATGGACTTCCATGGGAGAAAGTAATTGGCATATATACTGATGTTGCCCAAGCCATGACAGGATGTCGACCTGGATTTATAAATTGGCAAAAAAGTAGAATCCAGGATAATTGGTTCTCACTGCATTATTCACAGAAAAGCTTCAGCTAGTCAGACTTTACCTGAACCTCTCAACGTCACATTTAGCAATTAAAATAGTTAACCACATCAAATCCAGCGCATTAAACATTAGTCTCTTGTAGGCACTATGTCAAAAACTGAATAGTGGTCAGGAAACCCCCTGTTTCACACAGAAGTCCGGTGGTTATCCAAGGGAAATATGCTTTCAAGATTATTCAATCTAAACTCAGAAGTTAAAATTTTGTTAATGACTTCCAAACAAGAAGATTTACAGATGATAAAAATATCATTTACTTGACTTATTTGTCTGAATTTTTTGAGACACTTAATGTCCTGAATCTGAAGCTTTAAGGCCGTAAAAACCTCTTAAACACTTATTATGCAATTAAGGGGTTTTATAGAAAAAATAACGCTTTAGCAACACCGCCTTCACAGTTCCATGCCAAACTTTTCCTCTTTTGCTAAACTGAACGACTACCTCGATGATATTCAAACCCTTCCACTACATCTAGTTTCGGATTTGAAAGACGTCATATCACGCCATTTGGAAGAACTGAAAAATCAAATTCGAAGGTACTTTTCAGATGTTACCTCTAGGAAAGTGGGAATTTAAGTTGACAAGAGATCCTTTTCATATCGAAGTTGACATTCTTCTAGTTAATCTTCAAGAGTAGGCAATTAATCTAAAATGTGATTTACAAGCAAACGCAGATTTTGCAAACATGGACTTGGGAGAATTTTGATTAACCTACTTTCCTGTTTACCCAGAAATGGCCTTAGTATCTGCGAAGTTATTAGTCCAGTTTTTATCGACATATCTTTGCGAATCTGAATTTTCCGCATTGGCGTATATAAAATCAAAATATCGTTTAAGGCTGGACGTTGAACGTGGCTTAAGGTGTGATCTGACACAGTTTTCAACCAATATCGAAGAACTTGTCAAGAACAAACAATGCCAACACTCTCATTAAAAGTGCAAAAACACTTATATTTAATCGATTCATGTTTGTTTAAATTTAAAGGTTTTAATAAACATAATTTATGAATGTGACGTTATATTTTATTTAAATAATAGTAGTTTAGAGACAACTTAATTTTTTATCTCTTACAGCTTATGGGTAAATATTTCAATTTTTATGATTTTTGTTGATTTTTCTTTAATATATTTTTTGACCTATTTTTTGATGTCTTTAAAAGAAATGTAAATCTTATGTTTAACTTATTTAATTTTGACGTTCTTTATAAGTTTCAGGTTAAAACTTATTGGTGCCTGGTTTGTTTTACAAATTAGCGTAATTAGCAAACTAGTGTTTCTTGTTTTTCATTCGACAAACTGTTATCTAATTAGTATCTTATATTATGTATTATTTTTCTATCTGTCTATTTTTCTATTTTTCTATTATTTATACTTTTATTCTCCTCCAGTGAAGCTGCTGATTCGAGCAACGTGATCTTCGTTAGGTTTGGATGAACAATCAACTTTTTATTCATCTACTTTTGCTAGCTTTTTCATTATAGTCCGATTCTAAAGCCAATTATGTGTGTCTTGATTAAATGAGCGATTCTAACTTTTCTTATATTATCCAATAAATAATTCAATTTGAGGTCTCAGCTTGAAGGAAAGCTCTAACTTAAATTTGGTAGCATAGGTAAAAACTCAAGCGGGAGATTAAACTTAATGTTTTGAAAATAATCTGTACCACATAAACAGCTATGACATTGCGTGTTAAGTGAAGTCTCGTAGTATTAGAAATATTTTTAAAATTTCAAAGTGATTCATCCATTATTTTAAAATATTTTTAAATTAGTAATCCAAACAATGATTTTACAATAGTCAGAAAAAAAAACTTATAATGATTCTACGGGTATCATAAATAATAGGGAGAGTTATTCCATTAAAATTTTTTTTAAGTGAAAAACCATTTCCAACATTGAAATTTTTTGCTAATAAAAAATATAAATAACTTTTTTGCTATTGCCCAGCGAAAAATGATTTTTCCATGTTCCAAAAGCTGGAATTTTTTCACTAATTAAAAGTTGTTCTACGATAATTAGGAACGAAGTTGGTACACATTTTTTAAATCCGCGATATCGAAAAATGAAATAAATATCAACTTTAATCTCGTGCTAAAAATTTTATATTATCCGGTTCTTGTTGACTAATTTTGACATTTATTTTCATAATTCGTATTTTCTCTTTACATATATTTCAACATCGTCTTGTTAATAAATTTAATGTTAAATTAATAATGTTTAGGATAATCCTATTTAACATTCATTCGGCGAATTATTGGAAAAATATAATTTAGCTCATGTGATATACAGTGATGAGTGCCTTAACACCCGGCTTTTTAACGTAAGAGATAGAAAACACAGTTACCTTGTGAAATAAAAAGAGTTGAAACTCGTAGAGGTGGGAAGTAATCGATAGAAACCTATAATTTACATTACATTCCATTACCACTATCAATAATCTCACACCTTTAGACGTTAGAGTGGCTATTTGACTTCAGTCATAATTATACGGATAACCTCGAAAATATTTTATTTTAATAATTTCTGATGTTAGAATAAATAATTGAATAAATTAAGATATATTATAGTAAAATTATAAATCTATAAAGTTTATTTAATAATAAAAATAACTGAAATATTTGACTAAAATAAAGGTAGGTATGTTCTGTCCGAAACAATTACTGTATGTGGAATTGGTGTAACAGTTAGAGACGTGGTGTATTAACAAGAAGATTGAGCTCTTAAT